CATATGTTAGTGAATAATGCTACTCGACCGATACTTAGATATTAATGATGGAATTTCAAGCATAAACAACAAAATATAATAATAACCGCCCGGGTTCGTGTTTCGGAGTAAAGGTGCGCTTGAAACGACCCAGGAGAGCCCTATCTACTTCCGCTTAGAAGTCCTGCTTCGGCCTGTGAGCGTTGTACGTCTGCGCTCTAGCCTTGGCAGCAGAGGGGCAGACCATATCGGTCGCCTGAAACTCGTCCAACGCCCTGAATCAACGAACAAAATAGGGCCCCATTTTGCCTGTTCAAGCCGTTTCTTTTGATGGAAATCCTTTTCACTTCTGCACTGGATGGAACTTCAGCTTAACTTCCGACCGCCAACTGATTTAACTCATACACTGCCACTAACAATGGGTACAGCGCTATCTTTTTGATCCCAGTGTTTGAATGCGATTCATAATACATCTCCTTCAACTGTTTTGTGCTTGACCCGACACGTAGCATCGGTCACGTTTCTGAGCAGGCAGCAGCTGTTTTCTGTAACTGTTCGGTTCAGCCAGCCCAGCCTCCTTGTGGAAATTCCCACCAGTTTCCCGAAACTCATTATTTTTAATGGAAATCGATTATGTTTCAATTTCCCTAGAAGATATTAGTTGTGAGATATTTTGTTGTTTTCTCCAGACTTCACTAAAAGTGACTACACTGGAAGCATTGGCGGCTGAGAGTGAAACAACTAGCGAAACTGATGGCGAGGAGGCTAAAAACCAGGTATCGACATCAGATTTTCTCGATTTTACTGTATGAATCTATGTTTTTGTTAGTTATTCCATTGGAACCAGTTTTCAATTGATTTTAAGCTTCCGTAATTTTCTGCCTTTTTTACTTAAAAAATAATTTTTATATTGATTTTTTGAAGGCTTTTCACTTTGGTGCCAGTTGAGTTTCATTAATATTGTTAGCATCTGAACTTACGTACGTGAGAACTTGCCCGCTTGAATGAATGATTGTAAATACTTTGTTTTCCGCCGCCGGGATTGCCGTAATTGCAGACTTAGCGACATTAAAAAGCACGCGATATCGATTTTTTGGGGGCCGTTTCCCCGTGTGTCTATAAACGGTGGCGGTTTCAAAAAAATCGATATTTCAACATGTGTGCTGCACGAAGTTTGTAACAACATGCCGAGCAGCGGAGAACAAAGTGCAGTTAAATCGAAGAACCGATAGAGAGCGTCCAAAAAACCACGGGTTTATGGGTCACTGATTGTGTTCGTTCAAATGGGCTGGGCGTAGATGATGTCCAACCATGAAATCAGCAATTATTTTCGGCGCTATCGCAAGATGCAGGGACATCATATACATCCTCGAGGACTAAGCATAGGAGGCCAGGAGTCCTGGGGAGAAGCTGCTCACGCACCTTGGGGTGTTTAGCCCGCGTAAGGTTTACGGCTAGTGCCGTCTCAAGAGCAGGTAGATGTTCTACGTGATTTCAAATGCATTGCCACCGTATCTTGCGATAGCTGCTAATATTTTAACGCTAATTTGTAAGGATTTTTTGCTCGATCAGGAATCACGTGTATACTCCTGATGAGGAAATTCCTTGTCAAGATGTATGGCAGAGCTTTCGTAATGTGAATGTGGTTTCTTAGAGTGGACTAAAAAATTTGTGCTCTTGATTTTGCATTTCTTTCAGCAGGATAAGTCAGTGGAAGTATTGATAGCCCTCTGACCTTCGTCAATTGAAATCTGACTTTACTAGAGATCAAAGACTCCTATTTTTCGATATTTCAACTATTTATATATTTTTTATATTTTCTATATTTTTTATCGCGTGAGGTAAAAAATGTAAAGCTTTTTTCGAAGTTCAAGAACTATTTGGGCGAATATTCAGAAGAAGGAATTGCGACAGTGGTAATAAGCGCACTCTTGAAGGCACGGGTCGGGATCGAGTTGAGGATTAATTTGTTCGAAAACTAGACAAGAAGGGACGATTAGGAGGGAAAAAGCAAAAAGCGCCATAGAAAACACTGAAATTTCCCTTAGGAGGCCGGCCGTGGTATGACGGAGAGACACAGCGCTGCGAGGAGAGGGAAAACGCGAGAGAGTACGTCGTACGCGAGAGGGCGCAGACACCACGTATGCCGCGATTGATAAGGATGGCAGCACGGCAGCACACAAGGCAAGGCCTTAGCGCCGTTGCCTCGCACTTTTGAGTCGCACAGTCGCAGATCGCGCCTCCTGCGTTTGGAGACTCCTCTTCTCACTCTAAAGGGACTACATTCCGACACCTGATCCCTATCCATGAGTTTAATGGATGAGAACTGAAACTGGCTATGGGTGGTGTAAAGGATAAGTGGAATGCACAAAAAGCGTAGGCACTGGTTTGAGCCCGGTCCAGAGTCAACGTTTTGTCCCTTACTCCGCAATCTTGGTGATACCCCAAAACTTCTTCCCGTCTCCAGCACTGCGTCCTCACGTTCGAGTTAGCATTTTGGTGCTGACATACATATTCGCTTCTAGGTGTGAGACATGCCCGTGGTGTATCGTAATGTGTAAATATGAAAAATGTTTAGTAATACGAAAAACCCGTACAGGGCGCTCATGTTGTTCGAGGGGCATCGAAGTGAGTGGGTCACGTACTGAACTTGGGGCTAGCAATAATCCTCCCGTTATTAGGGAGGGGAAGGGATTCTATGAGAGGTTGTGAGTAACCTTTGTTCTCTCTGGCGCTTCTCCCCTCTTCTGGGTATAGCCCTAGTGTCAGCCTCCAGCGGTTTTCAATGTCCTGTCTTGAATATCCCCCTAACGGCATGAACGCCTCTACAAAATCGAACTAAAAATACTCAAAGACTGAAATCCTTAGCCAAATTCGATTTCGATTTCAAGGTAATGATTCAAAATCTGGAACAAATTTCAGATAGTCGAACGCTTCCTGCGCCATGTGGCTAAATTGACGGCAGAGATGGAGCCATTACGGGCGTGGTCGTCCACCTTCACCGTTTCAAAGAAACCCGATCAGGTTTTGTTTCACATCACATTATCAATTGTCTTGATTGATTGGTTATTGAGTGAGTGTGAACACATATGTGTACTGTAGGTGCGGAAGATGATCAGCGTCTGTCAGGAAAAGCTGCTACAAATCAAAGATCAAGAGGCGAAAGTGAATCGTCTACAATTGGAATTGGAACACATGCATCTCAGTTCAGATCTCTCGGCGGCACAGATGAAAAAAGCTAATGACGCTTTCGAGAAATTCGCTAAGGCAGGTTTTGATTGTTTTGAATTTCTGATTCAGATGGATTATTGGAAACTTATGTCAACATACGTGAAACGCTGCTTATTGCTGCGAGCGGTTGCGAAACGGTCAAGGCAATCGGACAGCGTCCGAAACATGGAAAATGAAACAAACTTCTGCGCACTGAGAGCACGGCATCTATCTTGACAGCGCCCTTGGCACGCGCGCTTACGATCCAAAAGCTATCTAAGTGAACATCACGTTATATTGGTCGAAGGCCTGGATAGAAATTTACAAACGACTTTTTCGATAGCATGTTAAATTAGAAAAGGATAATCATTAATTTTTTCAAGCACGAATTACTTTTTCAGGGTTGGGCCCGAATTGTGACAAAGATCAGCGAGGCAATGAACGTGTTGACCGGACATGACGAAACTGATGAGGAGGCGTTGGTGGCCAAAGGAATCGAGCAGTGGATTGAGAGGCTGTGATAAGTAGGTTATGCTATGGTCGAACTGAACTTAAAGGCACATTGGGTGATTGTGTCGGTATGGGTTATGCCATGCTTGACGTATACGCAGGAAGTGCTTTTCATTGGTCACCTCCTCCTCATGCTATGATGTGATACGGTGGAGAGAAGGCCGACTAATGAGAATTACGCAAGGCCCGCAAACATGATTGGCGCAAGTTGTTTCAAGGGTTCATAGCAGTTTGTTTGCTTTCATTTCTGACGTAATAGTCCTCATCTAGGGTATCGCCGAAAATACTCAGCGAAAAAAGGCTGGGACTGTTCTGCGTAATGCTTAGGAATAGCTTTTGAGGGATTTATCGGCTCACTCTTGAGAATTTATGAGCCTGCTGTGATTTCAATTCAAATGCATGTTCGGCTTATCCGAGCCGACCTATAGCTCTAATAGATTTGGAAAATTATGCAAAAATATTATATAACAAAGCTTCGATTCAGAGTCTTGTCCGAGCTGATAAAGTTGACTAGAGAGGACCGTACTAAACGGTTGCTGAAATTACACCAACAACTCCAAATTCAGGTGAGTGATTGGGTCCGCCGCAAAATGGATTACTGTAGCTACTGAAAATCGAGCAAAATTTTCAGGACAACAATTTATCTTTTATCGAGAAAGATCCGTTGAAAAAAGCGATCCTGAAAAAAGGATTGGACATTGTCCGAAAACGAATGAGCACTATGTCGGAGGTAATTCCTCAGTTTATCAATCGTTTGATTTTTGCATACTGACCTCTGTTTCCTGGAGGAGACCGAGCCGACGTCGACATTAACGTCAAAAGCTGAAGAGGATCTGAATCGGGAACTCGAAGGCGACTGGTGTACGGTAGGCGACGTGGACTCGCTCGACAAAGAGGTGCAACGAGCCTGAGCGAGCAGTGGAGACGGCTCGCAACGCAAACATGAGCAGTGAGACCGTGGAAAAAGCTGAGACGAGGTAAATATCCTCAAAATAATGTATAAAATATATGCCCGCACGCACTGAATATCTGAATATTTGACGATTTTTTTTTCAGAAAAGCCGAAATGAAAGAGCGACGGCGTGCCACCGCCGCTGCGTTGGATAAGATGAAAGCGGCCGAGGATGGGCTGAATAGGTACCGCTGCACATTGCTGATTGATTAGCGATTCAACTTAGTGAATAATGCAATGGGAAACATGCTTATCGATTGAATGGAATTTTCAGTATCGCATCGTCGTTAGAGGCGACAAGCAGCAGCGACATATCGCTGAGCGGTGCGATTATCGAACTGCGGAAGTCACGTGATCGTTTGGCCTCGAACTGCGGAAGTCACGTGATCGTTTGGCCTCGTACGAGACTCTGAAAAAAGAGGCCGAACGTGCTGCTGAGAAGATGCTCGCATTAGACGACAACGTGCCCCAAACGGTATGCTCTTTAATCTGTCCATATTTTGTTACCCTTGTAATTCGGTAAGCGCGTTGTGGCTTAGGGCCATATGTACTTCCTGTACGACCAATGAGATAAGGCTAGGCTGGGGTTATAAACTTGGTATTCAATATATAGCTGCTAGCTGGCGATGGTATAGCGCGGTAGAGGTAGTGTATACTATGCGTCTGGAAGGAAGTGGATGGACAGTATAGCAAACAACGACGTAAAGGAACGAGGCGATAACAGTCAAAAGTGGTAGCAAATTTGGTAACGAAAGAAAAGAAATATGTAAAGTACGAAAACAACCCAAAAATTGGTGTGTTTGAGATTTTACCAAAATGTGGTAACATCAGTCGATGCTTCTTTGTTGCGTTTAGTCTTCGATAACGAGTCTCTGGTCGGCGTGGAGGGGTGTGTAGTGACTGGGTGCCATTTACAGTGGCGGGGTCAAATTTTGGATACGCTATCTAGGTCAGCTACCTTGCCCTTATGCTCTAGGTAGTCGTCAGTGAACAGGTCGGTTTGGGAGGATAGATACGCTGACCTGTACATCGGCTGGCACCCCGCATGTCAGTGTTAGGCCAACCCTCATTGCAAATGCTGAATGATGTCGTTTGGAGCGTGGCGCATATCAATGAAGACTGCAATGCCAGACGCTGCATCCTTATTATATGTTTTGGGCAGCTGGCCGCTCCGGTAGGCGACTGAAAGCAGAATTGAGGTTGAAAATATTGAAGCTGTGAAATTTTCGGCTCACATTTTGAACTAGCGTTTCCAAGTGAAGCTTGAGTGAATCTTGAGTGAATGCAACTGGGAGCCCCTAACTAATTTGTAGACGTCATCTGAGGCAGGGAGCCGGCGAGACAGCCCAACCACCTTACCCACACTCACATTTTTCCTAAGGTTACTCACTTGAGATCTATGGGAGGCACGGAGCATTTGTTAGGGGGTTGATCGCATTAGCCGTGCAACCGAGGGCGAACAAACTACGCTACTTCTGCCCCTTTGCGCCGCTGATGAATTACATAATGTTTTTAAGGTCCTGACAGCAACGCGTAATCGTATTCGTAAGTTGGGTGAGCAATGGCACGAGTTGGAGAACGTGATTGAGGATCATTTAAGTTGTGCCCGGAAGGAACATCGACGATCCGTAATAGTGAGAATGTCAGCTAAAGTAGCAAGAGTACTTTGTTGCAAGTCGATGACGTCAAAGAAACAGCTGTCCTTGAACGAGGAGAAGCGTTGTTCCCTCGGTCTTCATGCAGGGACTGTCTTTTTATTCGTTTATCCTCGCCTACAAGCATAGGGCTCTCTTCGGCTTCGTCGGTGAACCCCTCTTATCCCACTCATCTGTCAGCTCTCTCCGTCCCTCCTCCGTCAATATTTGTACAGATCTTCACTCAAGCAGCTTTTTTCATTGAACTTCTTTTTTCTTCAGAGCAACAGCTGTCTTCGCCATCACTTCATCCTCTCATCTTGTCTCTTTTTTGCTTCACTTTTCACTCTTTTGTTCGTCCATATTTGATTTTTATTTCTTTTTTTTTCAAGTTCCTTTGGTTTTTTGGATTCTAAGTTCCGCAACAGGAAGGAATACAAAGGTCATCAGTTATCCCGAGCTGCTTAACATGGACCCGGGTGTGATTCCTTGCTTTGGCAGAGTGTTTCAACTAATCTTTCACATGTTAATTCTCCATCCCTTTCCATTTTTTTCATCTTCTTCCTTCTTTACTTTTTGCGTCCGATTACTCGATTTTTCTTTTCTGCTGTAGTTCTTCTTATCACTTCATAGTTCGGCCTTTCCGTTTCTCCTTTTGTTTACGTATATATAGTCTCCTATATACTCTTATTGCACTCCTTTGTTTTGTCTTCGTTGCAGGTGAATATCGGTCGAGGATTCCTCAACGGCACGTCGAGGGATTTTCGCCTGATCAGTTACGCTCTCCCGCGCGGACATTCACACTCATGCGCGAGCCGTCTGTGCTCTCCGCGCGTACGTTCATCTTGGCACATGGCCAAGGAATAACATTAAAAAAAACGGTGGTCCTGTTAGCAGGAAGGTCTCAACCCGTTATTTCACACTCCCTCTTACTCCTTCTTTTTACTCATTTCTCTGACGCTCTGATGGTAAGAAATATAAACAGTAGCAGAAAAAGAAAAGGAGAAACGGAAAGACGAACGATGAAAGGGCAGGAAAAACAGCAGCGGAAAGAGAGGACTAATAGGAAAAGATCCGGATTATCACATTTTCTTCCACTTCTTTGTTTTTTTTTTCGCAATAGCATCCGTTATTGGTTCGCCCATTACATTATTTTTCGATTAACATTTTGACGTATCAGCTGTTAGCTTACCTCTATTTATTCATTTATTTATAGTAATTGATCAATTATTGATTATTTATTTACTTATCCGTTTATGTACTAGGCTGTCTCGAAAGTTCGTGCATATTTCAAACTTTTTGAGCCTACTTTTGTGGATTCGAGTTTCATGTATATTATATCACTATATGCACCATCACTATCAGTGGACTGGTTTGCCAACGACTAGGGCCGCTTGACTCCAGTAGTTGTAGCTACAAGCTGAAAGGCGGTTGAGATCGATTCTGAGTTGCCTATGGCAATCGTATTTTTTGTCCACAAGATGATTGCTGAACAGGAAGAACAAGAGTCCTCCAAAAGAAGGCTGACTACTGCTGCACATAGGATACGGTAGAACTCTTCAACTGAGCTTCGACATCCAGAGTCGCGTTTTTTGTTGTTTCGGTCTCGTTGTCGTGGCTCAGTAGAGGTTCTTGAGTCAGAGCGTGAAAAACATGGCTCTTTTCCATTCCTCACTTTGGACTCGCAAACGCGTTATAGGGTGAAGCGTGGGCAGTCTTGATTTACTTACAGTTGTGCCCTCTCCGTAGCCTACGTGGACATAAATAGGATTTCCTGAAGGAGCTTGTGGCATGAGATCCAAAAAATATGCACGACCTTTTGAGACTACCTAATATTTGTTAATACAGTGACCTTTTTTGATCAATTAACATACTGATATTTCACCATTCTTTCCATACTAATGGGGTTTCCGTTCCCCTTTCTCTCATTCATCCTTGCCCGTATTTCTCTGTGCCTTTCCTTTTTCTCTCCCTCTTTCGGCGTGCCTCATATTAATTCGCCACCTATAGCCGTTGTGATTATTCTTCGTTTACTCTCTATCGTTCCTTTTTTCCTTTTTCGCCCTTCCTGCTTCCCTTCTTTATTCGATGACTGGAGGAAGTAGTTTCCATATCCTCCGCCTTATTCTCCGTTTATTTTCCTTCGCTCCCTCACTGGTTTTTCGTCGCTCTTCGATCTTTTATTCATCGTTTTTACATTTTCCCATTCTTTAGGATTACAAATGACCTCAAACGGGTTTTTATTTGTTTTCCTTCTCACTTTATTTCTTTGCTGTCTTTATGATTGATGTCTTCCAACATTTGAACTCCTTCACCCATACTCCTCACAACTCACCGTTTATGCTTTCCCCTTTTTTGAGCATGTCATTATTTTCTCGTAGCTTTCAACAAAATGCCACGATTTGCTATTTTTAGCTTCTTTCTACTTTTACTTTTACTTCTACTTTTTTTTTCTTTTCTTTTACGTTTTCTTTTACTTTTCAATCAGATTATCGATATTTGCCTGCAAAAGTGATACTACCGGCTATTTCCCGCCAGCGAACTGCCGACATTACCACTTTTGACAAAGTGCGCATCGGTGCCATCAAGAGATCTAAAGCTATGGTATCGATTTTTTGAATCCATCGCACGTAGTATAGTGTCTGTAATTACGACAGGCCCTGCTGCGGGGAACAGAGAATTTTCCTCTACGTATTATTTTTCCATCACAGTTCTTTTTTAACCCTTCAGATCTGTGCATTAGGAGGTTTTTCTCTTCAATTTGTTACCGTATCATTTTTCCTACCCAGTATTTACTTGTTGAGTCGATAACAACGACGAGGAACGACTACTGGAACAGCTGGAAAAACGCCTAGCTGATAGTGAACGTGCCTCGGACGCTGAGGAATGTTGCGAGCATCTTGATGTAGGTGGACCTCCTTTTTAACTGTGGTAACATCTCCAGAATTCTCAAGGTAGTTAAATGACCCCTTGCAGAATCTCGAGAATCTTCTGGAGAAGATCAGCTCATCGTTGGAAGTCGACGAAGAGACGACATCAATGGACGAGTCATTCGTGCGCGAATCGTACGCGCGACTGAACGAGTCGCGGCGACGGCTAGCCGATGCGACACGCGAACGCATCGCGGAATTGTCGCGTGCTGTGGCCGACTGTGAACGATTTGAGAAACAAATGGCCGACATGCAACAATGGTCGTCACATGTGTCATCGCTTCTCGATCTCAGGAAATCTGGTGACGTCTCCGCGCTCGACGTACCCGATGAGTACAAGGTTGGTGGCGTCGGACCATTTTTCATAGGCTTGTCGAATCGAGGGTGTTGATCCAGTAGAGCTAAGTTCCTCCTCTCTCCCACCTCTGTCCTCTATCTACTTCCCATCGATCGATATCGGTCGATAAACTCTATTTAATATGCATAATTGATTAATATTTTCCGCTTCTTCCAGTCTGCTTTTGAGTCCGGAACTCTAGTACAAGTGAGTTCGGTTTGTGCATGGCATGTGTGATGGCTTGTTTGCATGCGTTTTGTGAAAAAATCTGTGATTGATTGAAAATCGATAAAATTGCAACGCAGTCAGCAACGTTTGGGTCACATATCCGAGGCGTTTTTCTAGTCCTTCCCAGCTCATGGCTGGGGAGACGATCAAGAGTCCCCCGCGACCACCGCGCTAAAACTGGGTCACCGCGCGCGACGTCGCCGGCGTTTTTGCAGTTTAAAAAATACATAGCAATTGGCCAAGTTTGGGACCTCTCTAGACGATCGATACAACACTTTTTTGTTCCGTCTGTGTAGTCCCCATTTCTGCATTTGTTTTAGCTTAGTCCTAGCAAATTGCCACGTTCCAACCTGTAAGGACCGGTAGCCGCCGCGTGCGGTGACCTGCTTCCCATTGGCTGAGCCAAAATATCGCCTCACAGGAAAATCGATTATCGATTGGCCGCCACCTTTTCAATAAATTTCGCCCACACTTCTCGTTCGTCTAGAAGATTAAGGAAAGCAGGTGCGTGGTCTGCGCAACCACCCTGAGATACGCCATGCATTTTGTTTCTGAGCCGGGATGAGGAGGGGTATCGAAATAGGTGCAACTATGTATATGGTACTGATTATGGATTTCAATTAGGTTTAGCTGACACAGGCGGGACTTAATCCAGGCACCATTCATGTAGTACGGTAATTGATATGTACTCAGAAGGCATTCAAAAGCAAACAAATACAATAAGTAATAAAAATACAATAAGTAATTATTACGACATTACTATTAATATAACATCTTCGAATGATAAGTATTTTTTCTTCTTTCCAGTATTCAAGCACATTGATTTGCTCAAAAAATGGATGATTTGGGTTTTTTCTTTTTTAGGTTGTCACACTTTGTTTTCTTCTGAACTTATCAATGGTTATAACCTTTTCACCAAAAGTTGGCCTGCTTGTGACTTTTCACGACTCACTTTTTAATATTTTCTTTGAAAAATACTTTTTAAACGTAGAAATTTTAAAGTTCGCCTTTCTTGAAACCTTGGCACGTTCAGACGATTTTTGTACCGACTAGCTTTTTTATAACTAAAACTTTTTTTGAGCCGACGTTTGGACTAGCTTGTCCACTTCAAAGGCCTTTACTCCACCAGCATCCTAGAGCCTGCTCGGCGACGAAATAAATGCACAGAAAAACCGTCTGCTTGCTTTTCTACTATGGTAACTTTCCATCAAAAGCTGAGTTGGGGTGAAATGGTGCCCCGGTAGTGTAACTGGTAGCACACTTGCCCGGAAAGCAAGAGGTGCGGGTTCGAGTCCCGCCTGGGGCGAAAGTTTTGTTCACAACCCAGCATTCTTGTGATAACATTCGCAACGCGAACTGCGGCGTAAAACAGCAGTTATCCAACAAAAAAGTCAAAAATCGTCATATTTTTTTTATGATCTACGAAGTTAATGCAAGCTTTGGTGAATAATAGAAGCTTTTAGAGCATAATTTAAGTTATAATTTCGTTTTGAAGCCCATATATAGTATATAATATAATATAGATATTATAATAATAATATCTATATAGTTTAAGCAAGCAATCTCTTTTCTCTGCTGTTGTAAATGCCTTTGTTCGTGGTATCTGACGCAATTGCAGACAGCGCTCGTGCGCCAAGTGAGCATCTAGTAGTGCACGTGGTGTCGATTTTTTGGATCATCGGCGTATGTTTGACTCAGTCCGCAATTTCACCATGCCCAGCCGCGGGAAAAGCCAATATGTGAATAAATCTAGAATATCACAAGGACGATCCCCCCAATCAATAATAAAATGCTATTTTTTAGCCAGAATTTTGCTCATCTTGTTCAGTTGCCTCTTGTATAAATACCTTGTGTGATGTTTTGATCGCTCAGATATTTGTACGTTGCCGATTTTGTAAACACGGAAGCAATCAATACTTCCAATTAGCCAAAACTCATTTCAAAGCTGAAATTCAGGAACTAGCAAAGGAATTCTCCACATGGTCAAAGACTCTCGACGATATCGGGGTGTGGCTTCAGGAAGGTGAACGCCAAAACAACGAACGATTCCACGATCAATTCGCTCATGCCAAGGTTCGTATGTGCACGGAATCGATTGATCAATATTTAAACGAATTGGTTTGATCAGTCTAATCAATACCGTTGTCCTATGTTTTTTTTTTTAATTTTTATTCAGTTATCCTTTGTTTTTTTTATTGTTGTAATTTGTTTTTATTTACTAGATTATCACTATTACTTATTATTATTCAGCCTTTATTTAATTATATGTCATTGTTATTATATTGTCATTTATTTTTTGTTTGCTTTATTTTTAATATTTTTATTTTTATCTAAATGTTGAACAACAGCTTGAAAAGCTTCAAAAGAACTTAATCTCATAGTCCAAAATTATTGCGGTATTTTTGTTTATTATTATATATTATATTTTATTATTATTATGTTATTTTATTTTTATTTTCACACCTTATTTTTCTACCATTGGGAGATACAGGTCTTCCGGGGCTTGTCTCTTAGCAAATGCATTTTTTCAAAGCTGCGAGAATTCTTTGCCGAAACAAAATGTAGCTTCTCTCAATCCTTAGTTCCTTTTTTTCCTCCTTTTATTGCCCATAATCGCAGATATGAAAATTTTGAGGTTGTTCGCTTTTTTTCAAGGAAAAAAACTTAAAAAAAGTATGTATTCAATGAGAAAAAACGTTCCCGTCAGGTTTCTATAGCTCTTGAATTTTTCAGAATACATTTTCGGAGTTGAGCCAAAAATTCGCCGATTTCAAACATCCGAAATCATTTGTGGAAAAGCTTGAACGAACCGTTCACAAACTCGACGACATTGAGAACGCTCTGGATGACATGACAGGTGATTTTTAAACTTTTTAGTTTTACTTATTCATCTTCGACGGGGGTCAGTTCAGCGCAGAGGTGGAAGTTATGCAGTTGCACACTTCGTCGCTTAGCAGGAGTATAAGCCGATGCTACTTGCATCATCCGTTTGGTCTAGCGAAGCATGTCATTCGTTCGTGACTTAATTGAGAATGAAAGCTAATTCGTACATTTCGGCTGGGATCCTCAATTCTTCTCCGGAAAGTAGAACATTTGAGAATGCCCGGCTTTTCTTGATGGGGAGGTATATATGGGCTCCAAAAATGTGTTGGTTATACGCGATGCCGTTCTTCTTTACCCTATAAGCCACCGTGGCGATCGAATCTGCTCTTCAATCTAAAACAATCTCTCGCGCGCTCGCACATTGCTAAACGAAATTCACATGGAGTAGTGAATGGAAGGGTCGTAAACTGGGGTTATAGGGTTGGTGAGGGTGAAAAGAAGCGTTAGGCCCAGACTCTTGTTGTGAACCTTCGAGAGCACTTGCCTGAATCCTCTTCCTTTGGCCGTTGGCTATAATATCACTGACAAAGTGTACAGTGAAGCGGGTGAAACCGGATGTGCAGCTCCAGAACCTTATAAGAAGACCTTGTGAAACAGGAAAAATTACTGCAGAGGGCATGGGAAGACTTGTCGATTTTTAATTTTGCTTTAATCATTTTATTACTTTGGTGGATCATTCGTTAATACTGAATGGCTTTTTTAACAATTTATTGAAATAGACTCATGTGAAGGTATCGAAGCAATTTTCTGCTCGGAATCATTGGATGAGGCCCGATGCTTGGTGAAGAAACTTATAACGCTGGAAGAAGACGTCCGCAGTTTGGAAAAAGGCAAAGAACAATTAATTCAGGTTTGCAAGAATTTAATCTGCTTTCTAAATTCGATTCGTGGCAATTTTTTTGTTTTGATAGAATTTTTAAACATATTTTTTGCCTATTGCAATTCAATTGTAGCTTCACCATTCATTTCGACATTACTCCCCCCCCCCCCCCGCCTCCCCCCAATAACACAAATTATGAAAATTAGATTTGAGACTTCTACCAATTTGTTTGCGAGGTGAGGGGGGGGGGGAGATTTGGCTAGAACTTTGTCACTGGGATATTCTGGCCTACTAGTCACGAATACAGTATTCATTTTACGTAGCGTGGAAATTGCAATTTGATTTTCACGAAAGGGTTCGGGGTAAAGCTTCGCGATTCCAATGCTGCGCTCTTAAAGTGGCACAAAATTGCACGCCCCGCCCCTTTTGCATAGCACTTTCTGCCTATTTTATAGCGTCTGATCGATCGATTGGATTGTCTCAAGTAATGGATGAACCTATTTAGTGCTGAATAAAACTAAAAACGGCTAAGAAAAAACTAAAAAAAATGTTAATTTTGCTCTGTGGAAAAATACAAAAAAATAGACCGACTGGATTACTATATTTATTGTATGTGTAATTATTAAATTGCTACTGTATTATATTATTAGGCACTTCCTCAATATTTCATTCATTTAAAAATTTGAATAAGTTATTAGGAAGGAATATTCGACAAGGAGTCCGCTGCACCGTTTACAGAGAAGATCCGATTGTGCAAAAAGAAAACGAAAGAACTCGGACTGGTCAGTCACTTTCATGTCGTCTCCATAACTACATGCTTAACGCAGGAGCAAAAGGCGCGGTCGAAGTAGGACTTGTGAACTCATAAGTTCGATCCCATCCTGGGCCATAGCTGGACTTTTGCTTCTCATTTTGTTGTAGTTTATGGAAATCGCTTCACCCTCTGAACGCAAAGATGATCACTCAAAACTTGTTTTGTCCTCTTATTATTAGGGCCTGGAGTGTCCAGTACACATTCAATCGTTTCGACGGATTGAGGGGTTCTTGGAGGGTTTGGCGCATCACAGTTGGTTAACAATTACCTTCAGAGAGCCGAAGATGCTGTGGAACGTCTCGACGATTGCGTGGAGATGTATGGTAAGCTGCTGAAAGAGTCAGAGGCAGTGGAAGAGTTTTTGGATCAGCTCGAGTATCGCCTCGACAAATATGCATCGGAAGACAAAGTGCGTGAAATAAGACTTAATACCTCCCATCCCAATTATTGATTTATTGATTGCAGTGCGAACGCGAAGAAGTTGTTAGAGAGGCGTGTAAGCGAGTGCTCGTATGGAGCTCGCTAAGAATCTAGAGGAATTAGAACGTCTCCTTCGTGAGAATGCTGTGAAAATCAGTGAGAGCGTCTGTGTAGAAAAGAGACGTCGAGCTGACGCGCTCAAAATGCGGCTGGACGGCTGGAGCAGGACGGTGCAGGTGAGAGAAGGGCGTGGTTTGTCAGAAAGGTATTGGTTTTATACTGTATGCTGCTGATGCAGCTGTAGATTATCGTGGATGAATTGACCTGTCGCGGGTTAGCCGAATTCAGCTCAGGTAAGTTATCACTAGTTGCAACAGCCTCTTTACCAGCGCACTCAGCGGTGAGTGCCAGTATAGTCCCGTTGTGGGAACCTTTATCGCGCTGGCGCAGGTCAAAGCTGGCGGCTATGTGCCGTTCCCAAGTTTTTGTTATCTGCAATTATGAGATACCAGTTTTGCTCCGCCCGCTATCGCGCGCATCACACGGCAGGCTTTAGCGAAACTGGAGGGTCCATGGAATATCAGCATGTGGTACTCCATTAACCCCCTCACTATCAAATGTGTTAGATTTTTCCCAGTTCGCTGAAGTCCCATGGAGCATACAGCTGTTGATTCAACTGTTCGGAGCTGACCTTCGGCCATATTTTTTCCCTGGCTAAACATCCACATTCTTCTTGATATAGATAATGTAGGGTGAATACGATTGTCTTGCGGCAGTCTCGATAGTAACAACTATTGACTAATGAAATGCTAAAGGCTTATCATTTATTTACATTCACCATTATTTAGAACCCCGAAAGGATTAGCGGTTTAATGAGTTTGGGCTTTCTTGATAGGAACGAAAGTTATCATTTGCTGAAGACTTGGTTGAATTCATGCAATAGACTGCAATTAAGTAGGCTGGTCATACAATGATACAGTGTGCACGTACCACTACAAATACAATTTGTAAGTAGGGACGCTCCAGTGTCAACGCAAGCTGGTATAACGGAATCGACGACTTTTGCGTTCTGACGCCCCTTATCAGCCCTTATCAGTTGCTATCGCTTCCATTCATGTACCACCATTGTCCCGGGACCACACTACATAACACTTGTAAGTATGGACGCTCTAGTACTAATATGAACGACAAAACGAAATTGGCGATGCTCGCTTTCTAGCCCCTCTTATCAGCTATTATCAGTCGTTATCAGTTCCTATCACGTACCACTTGAGTCCCCATCCCACCCCCTATAACATATGTAAGAACCATGGCGCTATCGTTGCTGTGACCCGAGCTACGAATTTCGTGACAAACACACACACCACACACAACACAGACATACTTAGCGAATTATATATAGTAGGATATTATTTGTTGAGCGGCTAACAAAACAGGGACTCCCCCTCCCTCGAATTTGAATCATGGCAAAGGAGGTCTCCTGCGCCTGAGAGCAGTAAATGGTCTAGGTTCATTCCTGACAAGTTCACTTGGGTATTATCGCTTATTGACTGATACGAATCATCTACAAGACAGATGGATAAGTGAAATGAACTAATATAGAAATGCAGGTAGGAAGTAACAGTGCCAATGCATTCAACTATAATCTCCGATATCTAGATTGAATTCGGCGTGTCGTGGCGTTATGCCCACAAGAAAACTGACGCTGGAACTTATTAAGCAATTGTTTGTATGAATGAAAGGAGTAAAATGACTTGCCGTAGGAATCCATAGAAATCCCCACCTTCCCCTGCCTCATCAGACCCTTCCTAGGGAGGCATTTCATCTGAATGACACTGTGTGACTGACTATCGGCCACCTTTGACAAATGTGTCGGCCGTGATTCTCACATAAATTGTTCCTCCGTTATGCCATCCTAAAATTGATTCCTTTCCTTTTTTTCTTCAATCATTTTTCTCCTTTTTCCTAGGAAATGAATAATGACGAGGATACACTGCTTATGCAAGTCGATGAGCTTCATGACTATTTGGTGAATGAGCTTGATAAAGTCAAAGATAAGGAACCAGAGGAGGTGAGCGATTTCCTACAGCCTAAGGTTGGCTGTCTCAAAAGTCACGCACCCTTTTCCATTCATTCCAGATCGCCAGCTCGTTGCGATTTCTACGCGGCGATCGTGATCGACTGTCATCGCGCGCGCGTAAACTTGCCGCAATCAATCCGCGAATGGCGAACGCGAATCTGTGCGGCGATGTGACGGAGCGTTGGCAGCAGCTCGAGTCTAAACTACACGCGCCACCGACCGCACCGCAGGCGATGCTCGACAGTACCGAGTTGAATGTCGATTTGCCGTTCCATGAAAAGGTATGTTTGAATTTATTGAGTTATTAGGTTTTTACAATCTCTTGATCTTAGGTTTCCTAGAAGTTCTAGAA